TGGAGCAAGCTTGTTTTCTGCTGCTCCAGAGAATAGGACCCAGAGAAAACTACAAGCAAAAGCTATTCCACCTCAACATTAGCAATAGCAAGTACATTTCTATGCCACTTATCAGTTCACTTAAGCACTCCCTAAGAAGTTTACAATGTGTAAGCCAATTGCCCCCAATAAGCTGGGTTTTCATTTTAGCAACCTTGGTAGGATGCAAGGCTGAGACAACCCTGAGCCCCTGTCTGGTGTTGAATTCAAAACCTTGTGGTTTGTGAGTGAGTGGCTGCAGTACAGGCATTTAACCACTGTCTTCCTGACAGTAAGAGCTGTTTGACAGTGGAACACACTCTCTTTGGAGGTTTTTAAACAGGCTGGATGGCCATCTTTGTCTGTGAGTCCCTGCATGCAGAGGGTTGGCTGGATGGCCCTTGTAGTCTCTTCCAACTCTGTGATTCTATGAAATAACAAGATCCCAGCTTTTAGGCAGGGATAAAATATTTTTGTTTATGGAGCTGCTCTGGATATTCCACTGTGCAAAAGGATCTTGTAGCACCTTTGAGCCTAACTGAAAGAAAGAACCTGGTAGCATGAGCTTCAGTAGACTTGAGTCTACTTCATCAGATGCAAGTAGACTCACATCTATGAAGGTTTATGCTACCAGCTTTTTTCTTTTGATTAGGCTCAAAAGTGCTGTAAGATTCCTTTGCACATTGTTTTTCCAGAGTAACCCAGCTATATCTTTGAATTCTGGATATTCCATGAAAACTAAAACATCTGTTTTTTTTTTAAATGAGAACTTGAGCAATAGTTTGAGTAATAAAAAGGAACTTCCCCCCTTTCTATTTCCCCCCATAGTTGGTTCTGAGACTTCCTTCAAGACTAATAAGCCCTTGTAATTTGTACTAGCTTCCTCTCCCACCAGCCCTGCTGCCACCCACCCACCTCCCACCTCCAGGTAGTAGTGCATAACCACATAGAATATCATATGATAGTCATATTTCGTGGTCCTTATTGGCTAGAATTTCATGCTAGTTTGGATCTTGGGTGAACACAGAAGGCCCTTAACTGTTAAAGCTTTACAGAACATTCTAAATCATTTGTTGTGGCTCATGTCCTTATATGATGACACTAATAACTGGATCAGAATTGCTAACAAGTATCACCTATGAATGTTGAATTACCCTCAACCATAATGGTCACTCATAAGAAAATTTTGTTTATAGCTGCTTGTCCCTCCCATGAAGAGTGAGACCATGAATACCAAGTCTGCAAAAAAGAGGGACAAGTGCATAGTGCTGGGCTATATCTAAGCTTTTGGTTTTAACACTGAGAATTAAAAGTAGAACCTTTCACCCCAAGCTGTTACCAATGTATTAGTCCAACATAGAAGTATTTTATATCAGAAGCTGAGATTGGAAGGAACCATAGTTTGTCAGCTCTGGAAGGGTTCATTTTTCAGAGGAAAAAGTAGGCTGATACCCTCAAATAACTGATACAATGAAGTACACCCCACATTAAGGATACTAAACATCCTTAGAGTTGTCAAAAACCACCCCTGGAGAAAATGTTTTCCTGGCCACTCTACAGACTGAAACTACAAATAACGTACTACCAGCCAAATATTCAACATGCCCATATGATGTTTTATTATTGTTTGTGGTTACAATTAAAACTTTGGAAGATATAACAAGCTCACCCTTTAAAAAGTGACCAAAAACACCCACAATATTTTCAGTGATTTATAGTCAGGTGTGTGGAGAAGAAAGCACCATCACATTTGAAATAGATGGAGCTGAAATTCTTATTTGTTCTGCTTTTGATTTGCTTGGAGTTATAGCTTATCATTTATACTTACAGCTTTTATGCTGTCTGTACCAGTTTTGTGTTTTTTATGAACACCCTCAGGCAAGTCTAGCCAGCCACATGCTAAATGCTGCTTATTATTGGTTACACTGAAGTTATGGTTGATAACACATCTTCATTTCAATCTACTAAGCCTTTATCATTTTTGTGATGCATTTGTTATAAGAATTTGGAAGAAATGTAATTATTACTACTATTACCACTACTATCTTCAGCCATAAGCATAATGCCTAGGCTATTTACTGATTTCTCTGTTGCAGACCTGAACAACTTATGACATGATATTTCTCCATGTCTCGATCAGCAGCCATGACGACAGATGGCAGTTCTTCCCTCAGTCAATGTATCAAGGCAATAATGGACTGGATGAGGAAAAACTGACTCAAGCTAAATCCAGATAAAATGGAGGTACTCACAGTAGGCCCCCCCCAAACCAGGTATTGGGTCACAACATCCAGTCCTGAACGGGGTCACGCTCTCTACTAAGGACTGTGTTTGCAGTTTGGGGGTGCTCTTAGACTTGTTGCTTCACATGACAGATCAGGTAAATGCGACAGTCAGGAGCATCTGTTATCAGCTTCGGCTGTTATACCAGCTGTGCCCTTTCCTAGAAGTGAGGGACCTAGAAACTGTAGTGCATGCACTGATAACCTCACGACTCAATTTCTGCAATGCACTCTACATGGGGCTACCCTTATACCTAGTCCGGAAACTACAATTAGTACAAAATATGGCAGCCAGGTTGATCATTGGAAAATCTAGGAGTGATCATATTACACCTGTTCTGAAATCTCTCCACCGGCTGTCTATTGGTTTCCGAGCTCAGTTTAAGGTGTTGGTGATGATCTTTAAAGCCCTACATGGCTTGAGTTCAACCTATCTAAGGGATCACCTTCATCCATATAATCTGCCCTTTGCCCTCAAGTCCTCTGGGAGGAATTTACTGAAACAGATAAAAACTAGATTAGCAGTAACCTCCCAAAGGATGTTTTCTGCTGCCTCTCCCAGACTGTGGAACACCTTATTGGAAGAGATTCGTCAAATAACCAACTTGGACGGCTTTAAAAAGGCCGTCAAGACGGATCTCTTCTGGCAGGCCTTCCCTGAATAGATCACCTCACCTAACCTGGCCTCTCTCCTTGTTAAACATCCTCTCCACACTTTTACTGGTATCCCAGAATGTTTTAATCCAATGCTTTTACTTTTGTATTTTTGTATTTTATATATTTTTAAAAGGGGGTTAACTGTTATTTATTAGTTTTGTTTAGTATTGTTTATTTTCGGCATGTTTATTTAAATTTAATTTTATATGTAAGCTGCCTTGATTGACACGGCAAAAGGCGGGATATAAAAATAAAGTATGATGATGATAATGTGAACTCAATTAGCCAGTTGTATCACAGGGCTACAAAAACAAGGCTCTTGGCTTGATGACCTCTTTGATCTCTTCCAACTCTATGATTCTATGAAGATGAAACCATGGCCTCAGAGGAAGTGAAGAACCAGCAGTATCTGCTGGACTTGATCACCCTTCCTCACTGCCATTCCCTTCTCTTTTGTGCCATGTCTTTTTAGATTGTAAACTTGAGGGCAGGGAACTGTTAAATTAGCAATCTGTAAGCCACTCTGAGAGCCTTTGTGGCTGAAGAGCAGGATAGAAATACTTTAAATAAATAAATAAAGGGGACTATAGTCATGCCCCAGTACTTCAAAATTTACTACTACAATGCAGTTGACAGGCCATAATATGCAACATATGAGCTACCTATGGTGCATTTGGGACTCCTCTGTCAGTAGGCCCAACTGTTACCATTGGACAATTGTTGGGTCCTCTGTCAGAGAGCACCAGTCCCCACACTTTTTCTGCTGGATATAGGCTCTACCATTTCAGTCCTATATCAGGGACATCATGATGAATTAAGAGTAAGGTTCTCACCTTACTCTGATCAAAATGCAGCTATTGTCCATCTCTTTTGCCAGGTAGTCAGAGGTGGCATGGGGGGTAAGTATCAACTTAGGAAGGGACAACAACTTTGGAAGACAAAACCACAAAGTTTCTCCCCCTCAAACGAGAAAGCAACCTTATTTTGATATTAACTGGCTAGTGAGGACAATAATAGAAAAACAAAGATGTTGCATGTAATCTCAGAAACATACTTCAAAGGGGTTGTCTGCCTCAGTGCCAAACTGTGGCCACATAACTAAATCAGTTGTGTTACCATTAAGAATTAATTTATCCTCCTATGTGAAGTGAGTTTGTCATTAAAAGTAGCAAATGAACTGTAAAGTGTCCAGGAGTGTAACCTGAATTTATTCCATATAAAAATGTTACATTGCACAGCACTTTTCCCGTTCCATTGTCATTTGGGTGGCACAGTACTCCTGCAAGGTAAAAACAAACTGCTAATGAAAAACATATGGCAACCATGTTTATACCATTTAAAAAGTCCTATTTTATATGCATATAGTGATCAGAAAACTGTGGGTATTCCTTTAAGATGCCCTTTGTATCAGTGACACAACAATGTCATTTCTTTGTAGAAAGAAAAAAGAACATGTCACAACTGGTATTCTGACTTTAACTGCACTGAAATCAATTACTTTCTTGCTGAGACAAGAGGTAATTTTCTCATTTAAACCTCACAGATGTACAGACTAGCAAATTATTGTTGGGTTGTTACTTCTATGATAATTAACAATAAAAACTATGTTATAGTATAATTAGCTGTTTACTAAATGTTCATGTTCATTCTGCATCACAGAGGCACTGCTTTTAAGAGGTACATTATTAAGGAGCTGCCTT